AGCGCGGAGGCGGCTGGTGCGGGCGGCGGGGCCCGCAGAGGTGTGTCAGCTCCGCTGCAGTGGGAGGGGAGAGCGGGAGCCGGACCATCCGTGGAGCCCGCAGGGTCCCCAGGGTCTGCAGGGTCCCCAGGGTCTCCAGGGTCCCCAGAGCCCGCAGGGTCCCCAGAGCCGCTGGGGTCCGCAGGGCCGGGCCGGGCAGGGGGGGCCACCGCAGAGACACCGCCCAATTCTGCCCCCCGAGCTCGGCCCCCAGCCCCGCTCTCCCCGCAGGACCCTGCTACGATGAGCTCGTTGCTCCCCTCTACTCCTCCTCCATCGGGGCCTCCTCCAGATACAACATCTTCTACTCGGCCAGCTTTGCCCGGCTGCACAGTGAGTGTCGTCCCCACCCCCCGCAGGGACTGGGGCGCAGACAGGGTGGGGGGCTGCGCTCAGGGGGTGTCCCTGGCAAGGTCTTGCCTCCCATGGGGCTGAGGGGTTTTTGGCTGCCCACCTCAGCATCCTTGGGGGTGGGGGAGAGCCCTCCAGCTCTCCACCTGCAGTGGGGTGGTGCGGTGGGGCCAAGCAGGAACCCCCCCCTGGGAGCCACTGGGTGCCAGTTTGTGGCCACCATCCCCACAGGCACCAGTGGCTGGTCCCCTGACCCCCGGGACAAGCAGCCCTGGCTCCAGATCGACCTGATGCAGAAGCACCGGATCAACGCGGTGGCCACGCAGGGGACCTTCAACACCTACGACTGGCTGACGCGCTACATCCTGCTCTTTGCTGACCACCCCACCAGCTGGAAACCCTTCTTCCAGCAGGGCAGCAACTGGGTACGGGGTTAGCCCATGGGACAGGGTCCCCTGGGAGGGACAGAGACCCCCCCCCTCCCAGCCCTGAGCGAGGTGCTGATGGTCCCCTTTGTCCCCAGACATTCTTTGGGAACGTGAACGAGAGCGGGGTGGTGCGGCACGACCTGCACTACCCCATCTTCGCACGGTACATCCGCATCATCCCGGTGGCCTGGAACCCACGGGGGAAGATCGGGCTGCGCCTGGGTCTCTACGGCTGCCCCTACCGTGAGTACCCAGCCCCGGGGGCTCCAACAGCCCTGCGTGGGGTGGGACCCTGGCCCAACCACCCGCATGGCAGGGGGCCAGCTCCCGGCTCTGGCATGCCTGGAAATCCCTCTCCCAGAGGGGATTGTGTCCAAGCAGCCTGCAGTCATTAGCTCTGGCACAAAGCACAGGAGAAAGGAGTGTTCCCTGTGCCAGGGCGCCTGCTGCTGTGGGCAGTGACATGGCTGGAGCCACTCTGTTCTCCCCAGGGTCCCACGTGCTCTACTTCGACGGGGATGATGCCATCTCCTACCGCTTCCGGGCCAAGAGGATCAGCACCCTCGAGGATGACATCTCCTTCAACTTCAAGACGCTGGAGCAGGACGGGGTGCTGATGCACGGGGAGGGCTCGCAGGGTGACTACATCACGGTGGAGCTCAAGCAGGCCCAGCTCTACCTGCACATCAGCTTAGGTGAGCTGGGGACAGGAGGGGGCCGGGTGGTGCACGGCTGGGGGGCCACCAGCTGAGGCTGCCCCTCCCCAGGCAGCAGCCCGCTGCATGCCACCGAGGGCCACACGACGGTGACGGTGGGCAGCCTCCTGGACGACCAGCACTGGCACTCGCTGCACATCGAGCGCTTTGGCCACCACGTCAACCTGACCCTGGATGGGGAGGTGAAACGGTTCCGCTGCCGCGGCACCTTCGACCAGCTGGACCTCGAGACCGAGGTGGGTACATGTGGGGTGAGCTGCCAGGACACTGACCCACAGCGTCCCCCCCCCATGAGGGGCTGACTCCTTCCCTCTGCTCCCCAGCTCTTCTTCGGGGGGGTGATTGACCAGGACAAGCAGCACCTCACTTACCGCCAAAACTTCCGAGGCTGCGTGGAGAACATCATGTTCAACGGGGTCAACATCGCCGACCTGGCCCGGCACCGGAGACCCAACATCCGCTTCGAGGTCCAATTTAGGGGGGGTGGCCCCTTCCCTGGAGGGTCCTGTTCCTGCTGGGGGGGGGACCCCTTTCCTGGAGGATGGCCAGGTCCTCAGCCCCGCTGTGGGGTGACCCCTTCCCCGGGGCCAGGCTCCCCCCCCCGACACTGTGGGGTGACACGAGGCCGGGCAGCAGCCGTGCTCAGCCAAGCGGTGCCGCATCGACTGCACGAGGTCGTCCCTGGCCCGGGGCACCCGGCACTGCCAGGCGATGGGATCGAGCTGGGGCAATCGGGGCCGGGTTGTGGGGATGGTGGGGGGGAGTTCTCCCTGCTGCAGGAGCATCATCCCCTTCCTTCAAGCTGGAGGGGAACAGATTTAGACTGGAGATGAGGAGAGGGTTCTTCACTGTGAGGGTGGTGGAGCACTGGAACAGGTTGCCCAGGGAGGTGGTTGAGGCCCCTTCCCTGGAGATATTCAAGGAGAGGCTCGATGAGGCCCTGGGCAACCTGGTCTAGTTGGGAGTGTCCCTGCTGACTGCGGGGGGGTGGGACTAGATGGCCTTTGGAGGTCCCTTCCAGCCTGGGCAATTCTATGATTCTATGATTCTCACTGCCTCCTGTGGTCGCCCCCAGGGCAGCGTGGGCCACTACTGCCAGGACCAGCTGAACAACCCCATCACCTTCGCTGGCATCAACAACTACGTGCGGGTGCCAGGGATCCCGCGGAGGAACCGTCTGGCCGTCAGCTTCCGCTTCCGCTCCTGGGACACCGCCGGGCTCCTGCTCTACACCAGCTTCGCCGACCGCCTGGGCTCCCTGGAGGTGGTGCTGAGCGAGGGGCAGATCAACGTCACCATCACCCAGCCTGGCAAAAAGAAGCTGGAGTTTGCTGCAGGTGGGTTGGGGAGCCCACCGTGGGGCTGGGGGGTTGGGTGTGTGGTGGTGCCTCCCCACGACCCCTCCTCTCCCTGCGCAGGGCATCGCTTGAATGACGGCTTCTGGCACTCGGTGCAGCTGGTGGCACGGGACGGCTCAGCCGTGGTGACCATTGATGATGATGATGGTGCTGAATTTCGGGTGGCTCACCCCTTCCAGCTCCGCACCGGCAGCCAGTACTTCTTCGGAGGTGGGTGGCGGGTCGGGGGCTGGGGGCTGTGGGTGCCCGGGGGCCGCTCACCCCGCTGTGCTTTACAGGCTGCCCCAAGCCGGCTTCGGTCACCGGCTGCCGGTCCAACCAGACGGCCTTCCACGGCTGCCTGCAGATGCTGAACGTGGACATGCAGCCTGTGGACGTGGAGCTGCTGGTGCTGCACCGGCTGGCGCAGTACTTCAACGTGTACTTCAACGTCTGCGGCATCACGGACAGGTATTGGTTGTGACGGGGGCACCAACTGGGAGCGGGCAGGGGATGGGGGGGCTGTGCTGGTGCCAGGACAGGAGCCCCTTGTGCCCTCACAGGTGCACCCCCAACCTGTGCGAACACGACGGCCGCTGCATCCAGTCCTGGGACGACTTCATGTGCATCTGCGACCTGACGGGGTACAAGGGGGAGACCTGCCACAAATGTGAGTCTGGGACCTC